CAGGCTGTTTAAAAGAGACTTCAAAGAGACTAGCACCCAACATAAACTAAACTGACAGACACTCACACAGAGAGGCAGAGCCCAGAGCACCAGGGAGACCGGAGGTGTCCTCTGCCATGCCTGATTAGAAATACAGTGAGTGGAGAGGCATGGCTGAGAGACAGCAGTAAGCAGGAGTGTGTGCGTGCGCGTGCTTTTATTTAATGTATCTGTTGCTTGAAGCACTGCGGTCTACATTCTCTGTGATCAAATGGCATCTCCGGAAAGAAGCTGACATCCATCCGACAGCATTTTTGACATGATGCTGTGAACAGGAATATGTAAGTTTTTCTGTGATGGAAAGCTCCGATGTTGTTGTCTGTATTCGTATAAGAGCTCTGCTATGTATGTGTTGCACCAGAAACGGTGAAGAGAGAAGTATATCCAAGATTCTGCTACATTGTGTGGTTTTGTTGTTGTTGTTTCATAAAGGTCAAGCAAGGCCGACGCAGTCTAGCAGCTGTCAGTGAAACAGAAAGGACGGAGATTGCAGAGCGAGTACTGAAATTCAGCCTTCCTGCTAGTCCTGGAATTTGAACAAGTTTGAGAGGACGGAAAAAAGTGAGATAAACAGTCTGGTAAATTCCTTCAGGATATCCGGGGGAATCTGAATTTTCCAAATCGTTATTTTCCAGGAATCTACTAGGAACAATTTTATAACTGGCATGTTTTGTTTTATGATGGTTTTCAGTCCAAATTGTGACAAAAGACCAAGCTGGGTTTGAGTTTAAAGTGCATTACAGATGTGGTCGGGTCCTGCACTGTGGCTTACAGGAAAAAACAACAGAAGATAACATCAACGGTAAAGCAAATGTGAGAGCTATAAAGAGATACAATAACACATCCTATAGCATGGTGATTTTGTAAGTGCGCTCAGCTTTTTCACCAATATCGCTGCACAAACCTCTAGCACCTCTGCTGTGAACCATAACTAATGTTAGTAATGTGAACATACTGCACAGTTCAACACTCAGTACGGTAGCAGCTTTACAGAGCGCAGCAACCCCTGTAGCTCTCCTTCAGTCACGCATGAGTGCAGACTGCCAGATGCCACAATGATCACCTATTAAACATTAGTTTCTTGTATAACTGTATATAAAGATGTTAGGGACAATAGCAAGACTGTATATAAAAGATAGACCTGGAGATGATTTTGAAGTCTTGGGTTTGGCATTTTGCCCATTGTGTCTTTGGCGTTTTGGAGCCAGTTAAAAGAGAATGTAATGAATGATTATGTTATTATGGTAACTAATGCTAGAAAGGTTTTTTGCATCCACACTCACATATGTGTGCTAATTAGTTTTAACATCTTACTATAATACAAAAAATCTGTGCAAACAAATTTGCCACACAGATGCATTGTAGGCCCCTTGACGAGCTTTATCCATATCAGACATCATGGTGTCATTATGTGTCCTAGCAACCACTAGGCTAAAGTGGCCCATTTTTAGCATGCAGACCTTATCTAAGCGACCATCTAAAGTATATCAGTCTGCAGAGAGCATGAACAGGTCAAACTGTACAGTAGTGTGAGTAAAACAAAACTAAAAGATTCTCACACTCTAAATGGTTCTATTTCCCGCTGTCAGAGAAGTGCGGTAAATTTGCTTTAACACCACAAACATGATCTAGAAGTCCAGTTCTGTTACTTGATTAGCTGCAGTCGATTAGCCCGTCAGTAGCCACCAGTAACTAAAGGCAGCCACTGCATTAATTATGACTTAATTAGACCCTAATGGAACATAATTTGTTGGTTATGTAAAGATTCGCTTCCTGTACACATGCTGCCTTTTCAAAGAAAAGTAACGGAGGCCAAACATTTTCTTTGTACCAGATTGTAAAGATGTTTATTTCTGGTATAGCTCTGGAGGTTTTAACATCCAAAGAGCTTCACTTCCTGGTTTGAGTATTTGTTTTTTCATCCCAGGTCAGGAAGTTTCCATTTGATGACAATTAAACAGTTTTTATTTGTTATATTACCGGTAATATTTTTCTATCATTCATACAGAAATACGACATTTACATTTTTATTCACATTCACATTTTTTCTGCTGTTTAGTGGCAATATTTAAAACACAGTTATTTTTCTACGTCTTAAAGTAGTCCTTCACAAATATGATAGATTAAACAGTAATGATATACACAAAACGTATTTGTCTGAAGTGTGTTTTATGTATAAATATCTATGATTTACACATCTATGTTAAGCTCTATGTTACTAGCTTACAATATCCCACTTACTATATCCTCACAAGAGAGTTTCCCTGAACTTGCTTTTCCCCTACAGATATTAAAAACAGATGTTTAATGTTTATTTTAAAATGTTTTTATTTCTTATTTTAAAAAAAATCTTGTAATTAATATTTATTTTGTGTGTCTGATGTTATCTAACGGAGCTGCAGAAGTGATGGTCAGGAAATGTTTCTAAAGGCTGATATGAGGTGGTTTGCAATAAGTGCTTTGTTTTCTTTTATACCTTACTCAAACTGAAACTGGTCGAGTGGCTAAGTGGGAACGTATAAACTGATGTAACATGTTACATTTTAACCTTGTCAAAAGTTGGTGGTGGTGCAGCAGTTCAATAGATTTCATTGGATGTTTTTTTCTCTCCCCAGGGGGTGAGAGATCACAGTTAAGCATGTATGTGCTGGTGGATGGATGCCCTGCACCAATTTTTTTTTCTTTCGCGTGTGAACCTGAGAGATAAAATCTTGCAAAGTTACAAAACGCTGTGAAGTAGAAGACAAGCTGACAAGACCTTTTTAAATTTACGCCTCCAGTTGAGTCAGCTTTTAATCCGAGAACAGTAATTTGCCCAACTCTGCTGGAGAGTACATTAGTGATGATTATTGATAAGATTTCATCAATACCAGTGTCATTATTGATTCTGCTAATAGGCCTTATTCTTTATCTATTTGCTTATCTATTCGTTATCAATTTTCTGTGTGAGGAAAAGGCCCACAAATGTTTTATTATTTGAAACAGAAGCAGGATAAAAACGGCTTTCATGTGTGCACTGCTCTGAGTCTGATGCCATAATTTCTTACTCTGGAGCTGCATCTGATAGATTAGATATTCTAGTTCTCGAATCCCATCCCTGGACTACATATATGCACATCATATACGGAGAGTACAGCTCTAACCTGAACACTAAAACTACTTGACTCACAGGAACAGAAGTCTGAGGAAAGACAAACAGTTAAATCTTCCCTCTTGTTTTCTGCTGTACACGGCACTTTGTGCTTCCAGAATCCTATCAGGTGGAATTTAGAAACGCTGCTCTGCAGTTCTCTTATTTCCCTGGCTGCTAAGCAAACCTAAACTAAGCTAAGCTAAGCTAGCTGTGCACAAACATCGTTTTTTTCCCTCCCGGGGGCACGAGAGAAATCACCGTGGCCAAATTAATTTTCTCCCTTCTGCTTGTGCTGCTGCAACCTGAGGGATCATTGAGGCAGAGAATCAGCCAAAGAGAAGGGAGATGGTGCTGAAGGAGAGAAGGAAAGGGGAGCAGTGGAATTTTAATGTGGCTGTGTCTTGTCTCTTGCTGCCTGCCAACGAAAAGCAATTACTATCATAGCTCCCCTCTCTGCTGTGTGTGTGTGTGTGTGTCCGTGTGTGTGTTTGTGCTTACCTTTGAGTGGGTGTCTGACTGCACTTTAGAACACAGGGATTTGGTATGTTAAATGTACAAAGGGTAGATTGGCTCATATCCTGCAGGGTATTTGGGAACACTGATATACTAGATGGTTGTTGTGTAGAACTGGACAGTAGTTAGAGTGTTGTTTAGATATTGTAAAACATTGGTTTTTAAACTTTTTGTGCCCAAAGGGCAAGACAGATTTTCAAGTCACACCTGTATAACAGCCTCTGAGTGTCATCTGAGATGTCATCAGTTCTTTTGATTGCATTTTTTTGCACCACCTGGACCTACCATACAACACCTGTAATATTCTAAAAGAATGTGTCACAAGGTCCTCTGGAATGCAACTTGCCTCCAACACCTTATCAGACACGTTCCCGCAATCCAACAAACAGTTTAGCTTCCTTTGGTTCAAATCCAGCTCTCTTTTTGAAGCGGGCCAAGCGACTCTCAAAAGGGATGTTTGGTTTCCAAGTGCCTCCTTAACTTGCTTGGCATGTCAACCTTAGCCAACTTCTTCTAACAGATGACGCACGCAGGCCAGAGGGCAGGGGGTTGACACAATGAAGCTATAAGATGGCCAGCTTACAGGACACCATCTACATGCAGTTTTCATTTTTCCCTTTTGTTTAGCTGTGGGGTCCTTGGCATTGGTTAGTTGTGGCTAGCTTGCCATAAAAATGAATTCCCCCCCCTTGCTGTCAGGTTTTGATGTGTCAAATATTTGTAATATGCACCATCTAGAAACTGTACAAACAGACTTTTCTGGGATTTTGTTTTTTAGTTTATTTTTTAGTGGATAGAATTTGTCAACACACAGGAAATTAAAAATTCATTTGTTTGTCTTTGTGCAGTTGTGTAATGCAATATTTATGTATGGTTGTCACAAAATCCCAAGGCACACTTGGACTTAGTACACTGATGTTCTTTGGCAGCCCCATTCTGGAACCACTGCCTTTAAAAAACAAAAAACAAAATCGACTCTATAAACAATTATAAACGTTCATTGTTCTTAGATTTATTGCTTTGTTTCTCCAGTAAGACAGGAGTCCGTCATTTTGAGAATCTCACTGAGTGTAGAGACGACCACTTAGAGGGGCCCTGATAAAAAGCTTGACAGATAGGAGACAGGAGTCAGGCAGACTGATGGACAGGTGGAAGTGTTTCCAGCACTCTGAGGCTCAGAGCTGCAGGAAGGCTAAACGCTGAGTGGACTGAGTAGAAAGGTGGGAAAGATATGAGAAGAGTTGCCTCCTCTACCATGCTTTCAAAGAAACCCTCTGATGGTAACTACCCCCCACTTCTCACTCTACATTTTCAGGATGCGGAGGTTCGCCTACTGTAAGGTGGTTTTGGCCACTTCTCTGGTCTGGGTGATGCTGGACATGTTCATTCTGCTCTACTTCAGCGAGTGCAACAAGTGTGATGACAAGAAGCCGAGAGGACTGCCCGGGAGAGACGGTGAGGGTGTATCACCACACAAACCCATACACAGACACATTTTTATGGCACTGTCAAGCATCAAGTTTGAAAAGCTGAATATGTATCCTCTGTAGACACCATGTCCAGACCACGAGATGGGCCTGGTGAAGGAGGGAAACCTGTGGTGATCCCTAAAGAGCAGCAGGAGAAAATGAAGGAAATGTTTAAGATCAACCAGTTCAACCTCATGGCCTCGGAGATGATTGCTCTCAATCGTTCGCTGCCTGACGTCCGCCTAGAAGGGTGAGCTGCCTCTCCCAGCAACAAGTCCTGTGTTTTGTCATGATAATAACAATAATACATCTTTTATTAGTGTTATTGTTTTTAAATGGCATGACCTATACAGTATAGCAAAATTAGGTAAACTTTAGATAGGAGATTTAAAGAAATGTCTAGTAAAAATGTCATATCTTAAAATGGAATAACATACAAAAATAAATGTAGGTTAGAAGCACCTCTGAGTATTCATTAGGAAGTTATTAAACTTTGATACTCGGAGAGCAGAGAGGGTGTGGTGCCCTCAAAGATCTCAAGGGAATTTGAACTTCCTGAAAAACAGTCAGGAGTTCCTAATTCGGTATTCATATTGTATGAAGCAGGGCCTAAATATCCTCTTTGTGTTATGTTGTGTAGTAAGTATAAACATAAATCATTATATGTTAATATTAATAACAGGAAATTGTACATGTCAAATCTATCCAGTGCCACCTAAACATCGCACAGACAGCAGAATGTTTTCCAAAGATGTATGATGTTTGGGTTTTGTTTGGGTTTTTTTGTGGTGTTCACAAAGCTTCCCACAATTCATATTATTATTTTCTTTCCAGTTTCAACCAGCTTCTGTTTTTCCTTTTTGCAAATCATTTGAAAATGGTTTTCATGGAAAAAAACATTTAAAAGACAAATGTTTTTGGAGAGCTTTCACACTGTGTTAAAACAAACTCTGCTGAGAACCATTTGTGTTGGTTTCAAAACTGCCAGTTGAGCTCTGGTGAGAATCAGTGTGCAGGATTTCATGACAGTAGATACGGTCATGTGAAAAGGAAAGTTTACACACGGCTCTGTGATTAAATGGCTTATAGGACCACCTTTAGTTGTAGTAACTGGAAGTAATCAGTTTTTCTATGACTGTATAGGTTTCTCACATCAGTGTTTAAGAATTATTGCCCACAATGTTGCTTCAGTTCATTGATGTTTGTGAGGGTTTTTTCACAGCTGTCTTAAGGCCCCACCACTGCATTTCAGTCAGGTTGAGGTCTGGACTCTGACTTGATCATTTCAGCACCATGATCCTTTTTTTAATGCTGCTCTATTGTAGATTTGTTGCTGTTTTTGGATCATTGTCCTTTAGCCTGACCCAATTTGGGACAAGTTTTATCTATCACACAGATGTCCTCACATTTAACTCTAGGTTACTCAGTGACTGCAAGGTGCCCAGGTCGGTTAAAGCAAAACAAGCCCAGCTGTGCTGATAGTTGCTGATGTGCTCTGTTTGGTTTTCAACAACATAACGTGACCATTATGGTCAAACATCTCCTCATTTGGTTTGCCTGTTGAAAAGATATTGTTCCAAAACAATTATGTGGGTTTTTTTCTCTCAGATGCAACTTTGCAAAATTACCATATTTCCCGGACTACAAAGCGCACCTGAATATTAGCCACACAAGCTAAAATCAGGGGAAAATCCTGTTTTGTACATACATTAGCCGCACCTGACTAAAAGCCGCAGGTGTTTCAATGTTGACTCATCATATGTAAGAGAATATGCACAAAGGGAATTGTCAGGAAAGAGATGGCTGTTTGGAGACACACCCCTTTTTTTAATATTTTGAAAAACAAGTTATGGGTACATATTTGCATAACTTTTTAGGTATATGTACAAGTAGCGGTAATTACAAGTAGGAAACATGTACTGTGCTTCATAAATGAGTAACAAATGTAGTACATAACAATAACCTACAGCACACCAGAAAAATAGATTCAGACTACCTTTTAGGCTCAGGTGCAGCGACACGGCTTTAACAAGAAGAAAAGTCAGTCATTCACCACCATCTTCCTGCGCACTAAAACCACCAAAGTCCTCTTCTCCAGTGTCAGATACGAACAGGCTCAGGATGCCTACGTCCTCCACTCTCCGCTTCTCTCCTTCGTTGTCACTTTCAAAACAAAAGAAATCCTCGTTGTCAGTGTCAGAGTCGAACACCCTCAGAAGGGCCGTGGCGGTGTCCTCCTCTTCATCATGCAGCAGTCCAGCCCTTCGAAATCCGTTGGTGATCATGGATGTTTTCACACTTTTCCACGCTGTCAGATTCCACCGGTGGAGTTGAGCACAACTTGCTTTTCGCAAGTTTATCGCCGCTCGTCATCCACGACTCCCGCTGAACGCATAGCGCTACTTTGAAGTTTTTTTTCACGCTACTTGTACAGCACTATGTTGCCTGGCGGATGGACATGTGACCAACATACTCTTGAACCCCGATACTGTGTGTCTGATCACATGCCCTTCCGCCAGGCAACGTAGTGCCGTACAACAGCGGAACAAACAAAACAAATCGTCTTACGATATGACAAAAATCATGGACAATCCACAGAAAAGCCGCACCTGACTAAAAGCCGCAGGGTTCAAAGCTTGTGCAAAAAGTAGCGGCTTATAGCCCGACAATTACGGTAAGCCATGCTGCAATGTTCCCTTTAAAGAGAAGCAGCTTTCTCCTGGGAACTAAATAAGCCATACTTATTTAGTCTTTTAGTAATTGTGCTGTCATGAACTTTAACATTCAGTATGCTAACTGAGGCCTGGAGAGTCTGAGATGAAACTCTTGGGTTTTTGCCAGTTTCTCTGAGCACTGGCACAGTTTGACCTTGGGGTGAATTGGCTGGGTATCCAGTCCTGGGAACATTGTACACACCTGAATGCTCCAGATCAACAACTCGAGTTGCTCACACTCACACTTGCTGATGATCAGTTAATCAAGTGCACCCATCTGCTATTTACACTCTTAATTCCTATGGAAGCAGTGAGGGTGTACCTAGTTCTTCACAGGATTGCGTGTGAATACCTGTGAAAATGTTCTTTTTGGGACTGCATGTGGTTTTAGAGCGATTCATTCATTCAAGGCTGCTGTTAAATCCAGCTGATGGTAAAGTGCTACCAGAACAGTTTTCATTAGCACATCACACAGGGATTTTTGTCTGATTGCTCACGGTCACAAAGAAGTAAAGCAGAGCCGTGCTTGTGTTTATTATATGTGTTGTAAAACTGCTTGACATAGCCAACCTAACAGTAATTGTGTCTTAATATTGCAATCAGTGAATGAAAGCACCATTCTGAGCACCTTTATTCTGCAAGGTTTCTGTAAAGTCATGAATGAACATGTGGTGACTGTGGGCAGTCATATTTACACAATTGCTGCCCATAAATAAATCCTAAACCCTGTCACAACAGCTAAAGCATCATTTTAGTGATGTAATGTTTTTTTTCAACAACACTTTTATAATATAAGTTATGTGTGTAATTCATATATCATGTGAGCAGAATTTCAATGTTGACTGTGTCTGTGTGTGAGTGCAAGCGGTTTTAGGTTGAAGGTTGTTCAGTCTTCAGACAGGCAGACGATGTGCATCCAGCCAACAGCTGAAAAGATATGTCAAGGTTAGCTCAGGGAGGTGGAAAGCAGCCCCCCCCCCCCCCCCCCGTCTTTTTTTTTTTTTTGCTTCAGTAGAGGAACATGCATCAGAAATGAAGGTTTTTGGAGCGATGGAGAGGAAGACTGACTGAGAGGTGCAACAGTGACAGGAAGGGGCACATGCACAGTAGACAGGCAGGAGAGTAAGAGGACCTTGATCCGTGAAATGGGTTTTAGTCTTTGAGCGAGAGTTGATTACTAGGTGTGTTTTCACTCAGCCTTCCCCCCGTCTATCTGCTTTTCCAATTAGTAGATAAGACGGAGTCAATATCGTGCAAGGGAACGTGTGGCTGCGTGTGTGTAGGAGTGCATGCATTTGTGTCTATTTCACTGCGTATTTGTGTGTGGATCAGCAAGTTTAGGGAAACTGGCTGAATTCATCACAAATGAGGTTGTCATTAGCTGATACTTTAAAGGGGGGAAAAACTCACTTATGGTTTTTTAAGGCCCGAGCACTAACAGTGCGAAGGCCATATTGTAATTAATTTGTTGCATTATTATGTTTCTGTCAAATGAATCTGGGGATTTTACTTTAATAAACTCCTCATAGTTTAATGTAATCATCTTCATATTTGATCAGTCTTGAACTAAAGACTTTGGTCATGCTAAATTGTGAAGCTTTTGACTTTCTTTTGATTGCCGTGTCCGTGATGCAGTGGTGAGTTTTAGTCATTCAGCATTAAATTTTAATGTGTAATTCACACATAAATTGTCCAACTAGCCCCAAGCTTGACGTGATTTATAAGAGTTCATATATGACAGTATTTAACATGTTTTACACTCTGATCGAGGCAGGATCAGCGCATTAAATGTTGACCAGATAACCCTCAAAGAGTTGATGTTACGTTATTATGAGGGCTGTGAGTTTTTATTAAATGGTGGATCCGCTGGTGGCATTCCAGACTTTGATGTGCTGCCACGAGGAGCCAAAATAGTATAACTGAAATAGCTTTTGTTCAGTCTGTTCCAAACTTGACACTTAATAAGATTCAGACATCTATATCCCAATAGTCAATGATATTTTGAGCACCAGCTAGTGGGAACAGGAAATGTCAATTTTACTTTGATGAACTCCTCACAGGTTCACCATATTCACCTGAAAGGTTCTGCGAGTAAACTTCAAGTCTTCAGTTCAGCTCAGCTTTATTTCCATAGCACCAAATCACAATAGTTACATCAAGGCGCTTAAAGCCTTGATTATGCTTTAGTGTGAAGATTATGGCAGTCCACCCTAGGGCCATGGAAATTCTCCATGAATCACCTTTCGTGCAGTTTATATTTAATGGCTTTTACACGTCAGTGTGGCAAAATGGCTGTTTTGTGCCACCTACAATATTTCAGTGAAGCCACCCCAGCACCATATTTAATCTGCATTTATGTTGTTTTGTCTTAAGATAGACAAAAAGCCTGGAGCTTTGAGCCATACCTTAGGCCCAACAGGAAGTCAGGCATTTTCAATGTAACATGCAGTCTTGGCAGAATTATGACCATTTTCTTGTCTTGGACTTTAACAAACTTGTGCAAGAGATTTAATTTGATGAGCTTTATATTTTGTCAGGTCACTCTAAAGGGCACCATGTAGTCGGCCAAGGAAATGATCTGGATCTTTTTTGTGCAGCAGGCCTTATGACATCCACACGCCCCGGCCGAAGATCGCTACTTTCTGACGTTACGGTCACGCCTGTGTGTGTGTAATTCTGTATGTGTCTGGGTGGATTTACAGTATGTGAAAATACTTTTCATGACCACACCTTTCAGAAAAGCTTTTTTTTTTTGGTGATGACTACATTGTTGTTTTTGTTGTTTTTTGAGAATGCAGACTTTTATTGGTGTGTGTGTGTGTGTGTAATGTTGCAACAATAATGCTGTTTAATTAAAGCCAGCGCGCACGCCCATGTTTAAATATCCCCACAATTCCCTGCTTGAAGACGCAGCCTGTAACTCATTAGCTTGCTTTGCCGTTGCCAAATGTTGCTCCGCCACCCTGACTGTTCGAGTGCACAGGGCTCCCTACAATTGCTCTTTAAAAAAAAAATGCTAATACAAATAAACATGTTTGCAACTGGCTGTGTATAGACACACGGTCTTCTTTTTCCTCTGCTACACACCAAAGATCATGCCTTAACTCATGTTTTTTTCATGTGAGCGAGAAATAATGAGCCGCCTTAGAAAAACATTAAAAGACTCAAAGGCTGTCTCTGTTTTTACAGTGAATCATCTTGTGTGCTCATCGACCTCCCTATTTTCGAGCATACGAACATGCACACCCCAAACACTGAGAATTACTTCATGTTTTTAACGTGCTCCACGGGCAGCTGCAGGAGAGAATACACTCTTGACCTCCTCTCCTCTGTCGCTCTTGCATTCCTTGAGTCAGAATCAACCGCAGAGAGAGCGAGGAAGCATTCCAGCGCTCAGGATGATCACAAGCAGGAGGGGGAGTTATAAAGATGGAGGAAATCAGATCCTATTCCATTTGGCTCTTGTAAGAGCTGAATTTGTTAGAGGAAGGATGTCGGGCTGCTTTCAGTTTCGTCCTCCAACACTTAGAAAACACTTAGAGTGTGAGACAGTTTTATATCGGGCTTGCATGCAGGTGTCATGGCAGGCTACGATTTTTGCTTGACCTACAGATGTGTGTACAGATGATTCGGTCTGCTCTAACTCTAACCAGGTGACCCACAAACCCATACTTAATATATGTTATTCACAGGGATTTTCGTGGAACATGTTGCTTAATTTTGGTAAACATAAACCTGTAAAGAAATTACTTAAAAAAAGAATATTGTATGTAGTATGAATAGGTAGTCCTCTATGCAGCATTTACTGTAGTCTGTGTAACACTGAAGTAAAGCAGTCAAGGCCAGCAGTAAGGAGTTTTAATGTGACCCCTAAACTGATTTTGATGGTTTTTATAAACTCAAGGCAACCTAAAACAAAGTGGAAGAATTTCTGGAAATTCATTTTAAACGTTTATTTGTAGGAGCGGGTATCTGTGCTGCTTTACAGCTAGTGCAATAAAACGTTATGAGCAAATAAAGGCAGCTACAGTGAAGAGACCGTGTTGGAGTAGCTACATCAAGCAAGAAGGCTGACAAGAAGACATCGGAAGGCTGATTTTCATACTGAACTGAAATCAACCTTGAAATTGTCAGATTTATTTAAACGGTGCAAACTTAGTGCCTAAATCCTAAAGCGTCAGACATACACGCCAGAACTCAGCCGACAAAAGGTCCAATCCAGGGGACTGGATTGCTTTGCGAACTGGAAATTGCAGATAAGAAGAGAATAACTTTTTATTGTTTTGCACCAGGAAGTATTTTGTCATAAATCATTAGAAATGGATCAAGTCTTGAGGGAGATTGTCTGAACTGTTAATTTAATTGGAGCCAGAGGTCTGAATCATCATCAGTTTTACAGCCTGACAAAGACATTACCTATGGCCTGCCATGCCGCACTGAAGCGGGATGCTTCAGCCAAGGAGCCGTGCCCACGCATTATTTTGATTTACGACAGGAGCGTTTCTTTGTAATGACAGTGGACTGACTGAACATGAATCATCTGTTTTATAGCTGGATGGTTCATTAAGTGTGAGCCTTTTCAAAATATGTTTGGACTTTTTTGCACTAAAAGAAAGGGGCAAATCTGGGGGTGTTTTTTTTTTTTTTATATATATATAATTGGGTATTATGCAATGTTTTTACTGAGATCAAAGATCAAACTGCGTATGTGTGAGGCCCAGCCATGAACAGAAATAAGCTTGACACCTCGCCTAAGGAGTGTATACCTGACAATTTGACCATTTAAAATGAAGTGTTTCTCTGGAAATACTGTGGAGAGATATTTAAAAAGATGTGACTGTCTTCACTGTGCTAATATTTGTCGTCTTGTGCCTGTTGTCCTGTGTTAGACAACTGCATCCTTCACTGTCTCTTTTGATGTGTGCACTCAACACTGCAACGAAAATGACTCGCACTCTAATTAATATCACTAATCAAGTGTGATCATGCTGACCCACTAATTCTGTTTTTCTCGGTCTAAATCTGGGGATTTACGCTCGGATACTCGTTTATTATTCACTCTCAGTTTTCTTTGAAGTTGATTACGATGATTTTTCACAAGAAGCAAAATAATGATCTGAGTGATTTTAGGACTGTCTAATGTGGTTTAGTTGATTTTTTTTTTTAACTCTTATATAAAGTCGATGTAGCTGCAGCTCTCACAGTCGCACAGAGCCCGGATTGTTATGTGTCTCCTAGGATTTTTCTTTTTCCTTTCTTTGTTCGGTCTCTGCAAGTTCATGTTTGTCTGTTTAAAATCAAGTCTGCGTTTTCACTTACTGCCTGTATTGTTGCCTTTTTTGAAGCCTTGTCTGCTTTTAGTTTTTGATGCATCTCGCACACCTTTTCTTTTTGCTCCTTTGTATTTTTTGTTGTTTCTGCTTCATGTTGTATGTTCAGCTGTTTCATCATTTGTGCTGTGCAGTTATGCCCCCTTGAATGAGCTTGCCTTGTGCTAAGCAACTTTGTATCATTCTACACACAAAGCATTTGGTGACATTGAAGCTTTTTGAAATTTAGAACTAATTAAAATAAGCAGACTGTAGATTAATAACTAATTTAAAATATAATTCAATCTCTGAAATAATGCCGTCTGTTTTATAGATACAAATTGTTATACATTGTATCAACCTTTTTCTAACCAGTTCCAAACTTTTTGGCCCAAAGTCTTTTAGAATACTGTAAATAAATGATGTACCAAGCTACTCTGACATCGTTCATTCGTTTTTCTTACTTCTGTTTTGGGTTGAGCGTTCTACTCTGAGCACCTCCCGAACAGACACCATTTGAGCTCGTTTCTGCCTCTTCTGTCGGGAGTCTCATTCTCTCAGTCACTACCCACTGCCTGTGGCCTTAGGTAACAGTAGCAGCGTAGATCCCTAAATGGGCCAGACAAATATAAAATAACATCATGCTTGTTTGACCGTCACTTTAAACATTTGGCTTAGACCATTAACTCATGAGGAACATGTTTAATGAAGTATTAAACAACGTGAGACAATCTATTTTCTATTCTCTAATAGACTTCTTTTTGTCCATTAGGTTTATTTAACTTCTGCATTTCTGACTTCACTTTTCAGACCAAGAGTCTACATCTAAAAAAAATTGAAAGAGTTTCTTTTTGAATCATATCTGTTGTTCCAGAAGTAGATGAAAGCTTCAGGTTGATATCATATATTCTGTGTACAAGATTCTGGCTTTAATATCATGTCAGTTCTACTGTATGTCTTCTGGACCAGTTCTGTTGTGGCATCTCTTTGAGAGATGCAGTTAGTTAATAGCATGTCTCTGGGCCTTCTAAGTTTTTCTTTCTGCTTTAATTCATATGGGTAGCAGACCAAACTTGCAACCAAAGATTTATATATGTAGAAATATGCTTGTAAATATTTTTGTATTCTTGCAGCATGGAGTTGACCCTTTTGATTATTTTTTCTATGTTTTTGATTACTCGCTTTAGGTGCAAGAACAAGTTATACCCCGATAATCTTCCTCGCACCAGCGTTGTGATTGTATTTCACAACGAGGCGTGGACCACGCTGCTGCGAACCGTCCACTCCGTGATTGACCGCTCTCCACACACACTGCTGGAGGAGATTGTTCTGGTGGATGATGCCAGCGAGAGAGGTAAACTCACACACACGCACAGTAACACTCACTGCAGATAATTCCTTCAGTCTCTCTCTAGTTTGAGGCTTAGCCTATTTTTTAGAGCTATGATTTTTGCTGGATTCTGCGTAGGTAGATGTTTTTGCTCATGTGTGTATGTGCCTGTGCTGGTGCCCAAGAGAGAGTCAGTGCATGTATGAGGGCTGTGTGTGCCACTCCACCCTGTGCAATACTGTTAATCCCTGTTTGGGGGAGATTAGGTCTTTAATTTGCCAGACGCAGGGATTACACTCTGTTATTACCCTCAATCCCCCACCCCAACCAACTACCACCAGCAGAAGCAACCTTACGAGACCTCAGGTTAGATGGTGCAGGTCACGGATTGTGTGTTTATGTTTGCACTTGTGTTCAAGCTGATGGAGAAGCTCCTAGCAGGTACAAGAGGTATTGTATGAGAAGGCCACATACGTGAAAGAAAGCACGCAAGCGCACAGTTATCTCTGATCCCTGCTGCTACAAATGGAGTGGGTTGGAGGAACAGCTTGTAATCCAGCTTTTGTTTTGTAGGCGCCTGTTTTGCATTCTTATCTGTTTATATATGCATTTATTAGATTTCCTCAAACAGCAGTTGGAGAGGTATGTGAGAAAATTGGAAGTCCCCGTCAGAGTCGTGAGGATGGAGCAGCGGTCCGGGCTCATCCGCGCACGCCTCAAGGGAGCGTCTATCTCCACTGGCCAGGTGTGTGCGCATGTCCACATACGAGACATCCACAGCAACTGCTCTCCATATTGTGTTTGCACTGTAGATTTGTCTTATGTTTTCCCTCCATGTTCTCAGGTCATAACCTTTCTGGATGCTCACTGTGAATGCACAACAGGATGGCTGGAGCCTCTGCTTGCCCGCATCAAACAAGACAGGTAAGGCACACAAACACGAAAGATACGCAGACCATTGGCAAGCCTGGAAAAGAAAATTAATAAAGTATTGTTGAGCCTGCAGGGGGCTTGCCCTTGTGTTTATCTTACGCTTAATTACTCATTCTCTGTTTACTGCTACCCATAAGCAGGTATACACACACACTCACACCAGCACATGGAGAAAACGCACAGGGTTTACAAAGGTGTAATGAGAGATGAGTGACAGCTGGTGAGAAGTTGGTTCTGGAGGTGACACATCTTGCAGATGAGCTTTTAGCCTTGGTTGATGTCCACCCAGGGTTATGAACAGCAGGTTGATGTACTGTGTTTGTGTGCTGATGTCTTTCTGTTTACTGTAGGAAAACAGTGGTGTGCCCCATTATCGACGTTATCAGCGATGATACCTTTGAGTACATGGCAGGCTCTGACATGACATACGGAGGATTCAACTGGAAGCTCAACTTCCGCTGGTACCCTGTACCTCAAAGGGAGATGGACCGACGCAAAGGAGACCGCACGCTGCCTGTCAGGTGGGTGGTACACACAGCAAGATGAGTCTTTAAATTTCATTGCTATTATCCTTTTCATACTTATAAAACAGACTGACAGCAGTTTCTATGCTTCAAGTTAAGTCTTTTCATTTTACCAAAGGACATCTATGACCCTGGGCTAGTCCTGACCTAACTAAATTCTGCAGAGAGGCCCTTAAATCTTACCCTTTGATCCATGTAAACTATTACTTTTGCCATACAGTCACAGCTGATACCACAGTCCTCCTACTGCAACCCTCCATCCTTTGAAACAGTTTGCTCCATCTTTCAACCTGAAAATGAGTCCGACACTCAAAAGCCACTAAATTTGGTACACCCCATCAGAATAGGGAGAAAGGGTGATTTAAGTGACTTTGAAGGAGTATCTGCTAAACCACCATCTGGTTTACACAATATAGAGCAAAAAGGAGAAAACGGTGAGTTTAAATTATCTGGGGAAAGTGCCTTGTTGTTGCCAGAGGTCAGAGGAAAATAGACAGACTGCTTTGAGCTGATAGGAAGGCAACAGTAACTCAAATGACTAAGGTATTTTGGAAGATATGCAGAAGAGCATCTCTGAATGAAGCAGATGAGCTGCATCAGCAGAAGACAACACCGGGTGCAACTCCTGTCAGCTAGGAACAGGAAACTGAGGTTACAGTTTGCTTGTGTTCACCAAAACAAGATTGGAAGATTGGAAAAATGTTGCCTGGTCTAATGAGTCTCACTTTCTGCTATGACATTCAGTTGATGATGGGATCAGAATTTTGTCTGAACAACATGAAAGCATGGATCTATCCTGTCTTATATCAGCATTCAGGCTGCAGGTGGTGATGTAATAGTGTGGCAGATGTTTTCTTGGCAAACTGTTTTCCCTTTAGTACCAACTAATAATCATCAAAAACCAAAGCCTACATGAGTATTGTTACTGATCATGTCCGTCCCTCTATGACCACAGTCTACCTATGCTCTCATCACTGCTTCCAGCAGTTCACGATAGTATATTGCGGCATTAAAGCCAAAAGTTTATTTTGTGCAATTGCATATGGACACGTTTACACACAGGAAGCAGTTATCTTTTCCAAGTTGCAGTTGATGAACACAGGTTACCGTTTCAGGATACTAGTTTATTTCTGTATTTCACACTCGCTTTTGTCAGGCACAAAGACACAGAAACAGCACAGCGGTTGAAAGCAAACAGCAAAGTGTTTTGTTTTTTTTTTAATCTTTCTTATCATGACTCAAAGGATAGATAAGCCTCATCCCGTTCATAGATGTTTTAAACACTGACACCTGCTTTTACGTAGAGAAGGAGCCACCCAGGACCTCTGCTCACACTGTGAGCTCCTGGCTGCCCAGTTCTGCATAAAACTCACTGATTGTGATATGTCGCCTAAAGGCCTTTACATTCTTTAATCAGAAACACTTAGACACTGCGCCTAAGCCTTCCTATAGCAGACAAAAATCCTGAACTCTTTATCTTTTTCAATCCCTGTTTATTCTATGGCTGCTACAACAGTGTATATGTTACCATTCAGTTTGCTGCTGCAGTTCATCATAAGAGGTTCTCAAGGCAGGAATACTGAAAGAATAGAGTGAACTTTCCACTTCTGTTCAATGCAAGATGTTTATGTAAGATTGTGTTTTTTGTTTTGAGGGGCTTTTTTTGTTGTTTGTAGACCTTGGAACTAAAATCAAGAGCTTATTTTTGCCTGTCTATCATCTCTTTTTCCTGCTCTTGTTTCTAAGCATGCTTGATGCCAATATTCAAGGTCACACACACACACATAATGTAGCTTATGTAACACCCCGCGCCCCCGATTTCGGTTGTTTTTCTCAGTTCTGCTTGACAAAATTTTCCTCAGGGTGTCTTTTAAGTGGCCTAAAAAACAAAACTGGGTTGTTGTGTCAGGGCAGAAAATTAATTTCCACTAATGACACGATTTACATAAAAACCCTGTTCTGCCACAGAGCGCTTTCACATTATTGCACGTATGGAGTTTGCAGAATGAAAAAAACTGTAACGAATAATGCTGATGTGGTTTCAAGCTTCCACGCGTGCATTTGCTGGGGGAATTTCTCTTCATTAGACGATGCAAACTGCAGGTCTTTTGCTGTCACTCTCTGAGGAGCTGCATATGTTGACAGCAGAGGAGGAAATCAGCAGCTAAGCTAGTTATTATGGGCTCATCTACCTTGTAATTTACGGCAATGTGCAGAAGTCTACTTACTCACTTGGGAAGGTTGTATTTGCCACTGTTGGACTTTAAAAAAATACAACAAACAGAAAAGATCTGAAGAAATTCTCTGAACTTGCTAAATGTGTCATTTTGATATTGTATGCTTCAAACACAAAGCTGAGTATTACCTGCCTTTTGATGCTTTATACAGTGGCAGTGTTTGTTTATTTCAGTCTTGTGATATGTTGAGATGATGAACCACGCTTTTATGTACGTAAGGGCCGGTCCCTGTTTAGATAAATGACTTTAATTAGAATCCAGGATTTGCTGTAAATTAGTGGGTTTTCTTTGTTTTACTGCGACGTGTTTGAGTGTCGTAGAAAAAAGTGATTTATTGTAAGCTGGGGCATTTAGAAAGCTTTGATATCTCTTCAGGAAAAAAGGAAAGGATACATAGATCTGTTGTGTTGGCTTCGTCGTTATTGTCTTTTGTTATAAAGCCACATTTTACGAACTGTTTGACGAACTGTTTTTCCATTTCTGGGTTGCTTATTATTTCCCGCTCTTAGCCAATTGCTGGTCATACACCATCAATCTGTGCATGTTCAGGATATGTTTGTCTGTTTGTGTTCTTGTAAGAGATTTTAAGCAAAAGCGAAAACAGGCAGTGGAGAAGAATAAGCTCTAAAGAGGAGGAAGCCGTTCTGTAAGCGGGAGGGAAAATGGAAAGAGGTCTCGAGGCCGTTTAACTCTGACATGACTGTCACAGCAACAGAGAAGAGAGGAGAAAAAACAGGAAATCAGCAAATAACAGGGAGTGAGAGGAGTGAAATATAAAACCCTGATGGAATGTGTACATACTGGATGACCTTTAAAAGGCCGGCCGTCAGTGATTTAAGTGGCACTAACCTGCCTTTCTCCTAATTTACCTTTTCTCTGATGTCTCTGTTCAGGACTCCCACCATGGCAGGCGGCTTGTTCTCCATAGACAGAGATTATTTCCAGGAGATTGGCACATATGACGCAGGCATGGACATCTGGGGAGGAGAGAACCTGGAAATCTCTTTCAGAGTGAGTGAACACACCCACTGACAACTGACATGACTCTATTCTTCTATTCAGAAGTGTCAGCTAGGGTTCAAAAACACACACAGATGTTACACCTCTAGACTGACTTCACTGAATAAATTGTTGACCTGACTAAGACTTCGTCAGACGTCATCCCGGCTGGCGTCGAGTCAAATTTATTCAGACTGGCACAGCACAGCCGGGACCAGTCTGTGTCATCCATCTCCCAGCTGAGTTCACTGGTCTGTCTTAGCTCGTTCAGCGCCCAGGACTTACAGTGTGTCTACTCTGCAATTTATTCTCTAAATTAGTGTTGACAAGGCTTGTTTCTCATAGATTTGGCAGTGTGGCGGGACGCTAGAGATTGTCACGTGCTCTCACGTGGGTCACGTCTTCAGAAAGGCGACGCCCTATACGTTTCCCGGAGGAACGGGACAGATCATCAACAAAAACAACCGGCGTCTGGCAGAAGTTTGGATGGACGAATTTAAAAACTTCTTCTACATCATCTCTCCTGGTGAGTTTTGCCACATTTTGTGTGTTTGTGTGTGCGCGTGTTTGCGTTCATGTATGTGCTCGTGTGTGGAGGTTAATCTCTGTGACAGGTGTGATCTATCCATTAACCCGCTGACTGCGTGATATTGCAGTGGTGACCCAACAGTGCAGGATGGGGGGAGGCGGGGAGTAATTTCACGCTACAAAGCATGCGTTAACTTGCATGAACACACACACACACACACACAAGCTTGCAGCAGAAAAGCAACCAAAAGAGAAGCAGAGCTACTGAAATGAAGAATATTTTTAGATGCGAAGCACCTCATGGAACACATTTATACCTCTCTCACTTTTGTTGACAGGGGGCGCTCTTCTGTCTTTCTTACGCTTGTTTCAATAACCTGACCAGTTGTATAATAGAGGTCTTACAGAGCTGGAAGAAAGCATCAGCCCTAATTAGATCAGTTCCCGGGCATAACAATGAGATCATAATTCAGTTCTGTTTTATTGAGTTTTATTTATATATCACCAAATCACAGCAACAGTGGCCTCAAGGCGCTTTATATTGTAACACTACAGTAATAGAGAGAAAACCCCAACAATCAGACGGCCCCTATGAGCAAGCACTTGACAATAGTAGGAAAGGAAAACTCTGCAGCAGAACCAGGCTCAGGGTGAGGCAGCCATCTGTTACGAGTTGGAATTAGACAAGGAAGACAGGACAGAAGAGAGACACAGATTAATAATAACTAAGAATTAAATGCAGAGTGGTGTATAAAGAAATAGAGTGGAAAAAAGTGATTAAAGTTAAGAAGAAACACTCCAGCCCTAACTATAAGCTTGATCAAAAAAGAAAGTTTTAAGCCTAATCTTAAAAGCAGAGAGACTGTCTGTCTCCTGAATCCAAATTTGATGAGCTTTTAACCTGAATGGATACATGAAAGCACAGATATAAGGGAAAGTTATAGTTGTAGTAGTGGCCCAAAGTTAAAAGACAAAGCTAATAATTGAAGTAATTGAGTGCATGATTTCCCATGGTCCCGTCCTGCTGACTGAGTATGTAAAGGTACTGTACTGAAAAAACAAGAAGTGGACTGTCTTGCTAGACGGGCCAGACTTCACTGAATTCAAGCCAAAGGGCCGCACCGTTTCTAAACACAATTCAATCATAACTCAACAAAATGATATGAGTAGCATCTCAGCGTTACAGGGTTTTTGTTTTTTTATTTGTAAGCATAAAACACATAAGTAGAAACTGGACCTCCACAGTGTGCTAGCTCCATTTTCGATGTAGTTACTATCAGTTATTATATGAAAAAGATGATTGACCTCCATTGCTCTTCATCAGGCACTGTTGTTGTCATTGTTGGGTCATTTTCAGCCCAGGTGTTACAACTTACAGTATTTCATGTTCTTTTCCAAAAAAAAAAAAAAGCGATTTAGCAGTTTTGAACGTTTGGCTGCTTCAGATCAGCATGTGGGTTTTTTCTGCTCAATCCTAACACAGTTTAAATAAAGCTTATACACACGGGGGGAATGGCAGCATGCAGTGTTTTGTTTGACCTTTTTGTGTGTGTGTGTCTGCGTGTCCAGGTGTGACCAAAGTAGACTACGGTGACATCACGTCTCGCACTGCTCTGAGGCAAAAGCTTCAGTGTAAACCCTTCAGTTGGTACCTGGAGAACATCTACCCTGACTCCCAGATCCCTCGGCATTATTACTCCCTGGGAGAGGTACACTCGCTCACACAAGCAACACTTGAATCTGTATGGATCAAACGGTGTGGGTGTATATTCAAGCAATGAACCTGCTTCCTGTGTGTTTGGCTCAGATCCGTAATGTGGAGACTAACCAGTGTCTGGACAACATGGCCCGCAAGGAGAACGAGAAGGTCGGCATTTTCAACTGTCACGGGATGGGAGGCAACCAGGTAACAGAGAAATAACAAAACGCTGTAACTACACATGAATTAAAGTGTAAATGTTGATCACTGTTGACATCAGAGTTATTCTCGGCACAAAAAGAGAGAAAGTCTGTGGGTGATGTGTGCAGGTTTTCTCCTATACGGCCAACAAGGAGATCAGGACAGATGACTTGTGTCTAGACGTGTCCAAGCTAAACGGACCCGTCATGATGCTCAAGTGCCATCACCTCAAAGGCAACCAGCTCTGGGAGTACGACCCTCTGGTAAGTGGAAGACATAATAAAAAAAGCATTTTCTCAAAGTGATTCTGAAAAGCTGGTTAATATGTTCATCACCTGGACTGTTAGAAGTCATTATTATCATCTTATTATAAAAGCAGCCTGTAAAGCCTTCAGTTAAACCACAACACTACAGTTAAAGATCATATTTCTCCCATATTAGCTTCTCTTCAAAGTTTAAAATCTTCCTGTTCATGTATAAAACCTGGAACAATCAAGGTTTTGCCTACTAGGGGTAATTCTTATTTCTTTTTTCTGAACTGAGGGGTTTCTGTCAGATTTCATTTAAGCCCATTTCTGTAGGTTTGGAAACTCTACATTAAGGGTACAGAGGAGGTCATCAGATGTTGTCTTTTTGTGAAAACTGGAAGCTGGTGTCAGGTGACCCTGAAGACTTCCTTAATTATGCAGCAACAGGCCTAGGATGCTGGGAGGTTCCCATGATGCACTTTGTCTTCTTCACCACTGCTGTATTTAATCATTAGTAATTATTAAACTCTGGTTCTCTCCCATAGTGTGTCCTTCGTCCTGCCTCTCTCTTTCCTTCTCCCTGACTGTTGGGGTTTTCTCCTGAATGCTGTAGGGTCGTACCATTATACTGTAGGTTTATAGCTTACAGTATAAACACACTGAGGTTATTGTTATTGGGAGTTGGTGCTATATAAATAAAACTGAATTAAATTGAATACTGTGAGCTCTCACAAAGGTCTTGACAGGCACAGAAAATAGTTCATTTACAGCAGGAAAACCTAGGACGTTAAATTCCCTTCCAACTGTATTTTTAAGGCACTTTAAAACAACAACGGCTGACACAGTGATGTATATTAGAAATAAATAAAATAGAAAGACAATAAAATATAATGGGCACAGCTCTGCTCTGCTGTGCTCTGCGACACACTGTCGACCTGTCCACGGTGTACTCTGCCTCTCACCCTTTGGTAGCTGGGATAGGGTACAGCCCACCCAGCACGATAAACAAGGATGGATGGACAGTAAAATGGAACTAAAGGGTGCAAAACGACACAAGTAAAAATGACCATCATACAATAAAAAGCAAATGAGATCAATGTGTCACACTGGGTCAAAGCCCAAAGGGTATAGACAGTATATTGTTGGGCAGTGTAGCTTCCTGTGAGGGTCCCGGGTCTGAAACCTAGTGAGTTTTGAGGTTTATGGACTTTGTAGTTTTATGTTTCTTGGTTTTGTTTGAGTTTACATTCATGCAATTTTTCCATTGTTCTGTTCTTAGTGTAGTTAGTCTCTAGTTTTGTATATTTTCTCTTCTGTGTCAAGTCTTCATCACCCCTCTTGTTAGGTTTGTTTAGTGTTCAGTTTTACTTCCCCCAGTCTCAGTTCCCCCCTGTGAGTTTCAGTTGTGTTCCCCACGTGTTTCCTCTCTGCCCCAATCACCCTTCTCTGTATTTATAGTTGCAGTCTTCCTCTTTGTCGTTGTCTGATCGTCTGTTTATCCCTGGTTTTGCTCTGTGTTCCTGTTCCTTTCCCTCATTAGCCTGTATTCCCCAGTGTAGACTGATTTTTAGTTCCTAGTTTTCCAGTTTTCCACTTTTTGTTTACCTTTTGCATTCAATACCAGCTCACTCTAAGTTCACCTGTGCCTGCGTTCTGCCTCTTCACAACATGTAGTCTCACAGAGCCTATTTAAATTGCAAAGACAATTTAGTCCATTAAGATAAGATAAGATAAGATAAGATAAGATAACTCTTTATTGTCATTGCACAGTCATACATAGTACAGTAGTACAATGAAATTGGAAAAACTGTCCTACGTCGGCACTACATATAACACAACACGACACGATATGACACATCACAATGTAACAAACAACACAACACAGTATATTAACTTAGTATAAAAAAGAAGAATAAGTGTATGTGTATGCACACTGTTATTATTGCACATTAATTATTATTGCACCTTGTTATAAATATAAATATTATTGTTATCGTTTTAAACATTGTTACCTCCCCCTAAAAAGTCCAGGGAGGTATCCAGTCAGGTCAGCTATTTACATTGATCAGGGCTATTGCCCTGTTGTAAAAGCTGTCTTTGAGTCTATTTGTTCGGGACCTCAGCAGCCTGAACCTCCTGCCAGACGGCAGCAGCTTAAACACCCGGTGTCCTGGGTGTGTGCAGTCCCGTAGGATGCTGCGTGCCCTCTTGAGACAGCGAGTGCTGTACAGGTCCTTCAGGGAGGGAAGAGGATGTCCAATGATTTTTTGGGCCATGTTGATGACCCTCTGGTGTGCCTTTCTGTGTGCTGTGGTGCAGCTGGAGAACCACACACCGATGCAATATGTCAGCACACTTTCAATGGAGCAGCGGTAGAAGACGGTCAGCAGCTCCTTCTTCAGGTCCATTTTTCTGAGGATTCTCAGAAAGTGGAGACGCTGTTGGGCCTTCTTTAAGACCGCAGAGGTGTTAGAGCTCCATTGGAGGTCTGTGTCTATGTGCACACCCAGAAACTTGAAACTGGAGACCCTTTCCACGCACTCCCCGTTGATGCTGACAGGCTGCAGCTCGGACTTCCTCCTTCTGAAGTCAACTACCAGTTCTTTTGTTTTGGTGGTATTGAGGTCCAGGTTGTTGTCTGCACACCAATCTGACAGCCTCTGAACTTCAGCTCTGTATGCAGTCTCATCTCCCCCTGAGATGAGCCCCACCACAGTGGTATCATCTGCAAACTTGATGACTGTGTTGTCTGGGTGTGAACTAACACAGTCATGTGTGTACAGAGTGTACAGTAGGGGACTCAGTACACAGCCTTGTGGAGAGCCGGTGTTGAGGCTGAGGGCTGAGGAAAGATGAGGCCCCACTCTAACTCTCTGTACATGGTCTGAGAGGAAGTCTCTGATCCAGCGGCAGGTGGTGGAAGGAAGTCCAATTTCCAGCAGTTTATCTATTAGTCTGTCCGGGAGTATTGTATTGAAAGCAGAGCTAAAGTCAACAAAGAGCAGCCTGGCGTAACGGCCCTGCACTTCCAGGTGAGAGATGGTGGTGTGGAGCGTTGTAGCAATGGCATCTTCAGTTGATCTGTTAGCTCTGTATGCAAACTGGAGCAGGTCGAGTGTGGGTGGTAGGCAGGGCATGATGTGACGTCGGACCAGTTTCTCAAAGCACTTCATTATAACAGGTGTTAGAGCAACTGGTCGGTAGTTGTTGAGGCTGCTAATGTTAGTACGCTTTGGCAGTGGCATTACCAAGGAGCCGCAATAGAAAATGCTCTGAAAGTTATAAAAGCTCATTCTGATTCTTTCAGAATGAGCTTTTTCCAAAGCTGGAAAATGCAATATAAACAAACAAATAGTCACATTGTTAAAAATGCAAATTAATGTTCATGTAAATTCACATAAACACGCTGCTTTGCAGTAGTTTACAGTTAACTGTGAGCAAATCTATCAAAATGGATTTTAAATTAAAATATAAATAATGAATCTTTTCTAATCCCAGTGCACGTAATTCAACCTAGCATCATTTCTTGCCACAGTTTGGAGATATATCATCGTTGACTCGTTACCCAACCCAACCACAGCATTTACACCACAGAGAGCTAAAACTGAGCCTCATAGACTCGCACAGCAGAATTTGATATTCAAAGTATAACAAAGTCCATGTGCTGTTTTAACCAAAAAGACATTTACATGTTCCTTTAAATGAACCTTTCTAAAGAGTGATTTGTGTTTTTGTGCTGTGCAGAAGCTGACCCTGATCCACGTCAACAGTAACCAGTGTCTGGACAAGGCCAGCGAGGAGGACAGCCAGGTGCCCAGCGTCAGAGACTGCACGCACACACGCTCCCAACAGTGGCTGCTCCGCAATGTCACACTACCAGAGGTCTTCTGACCACACTCCTCACACTTCCAAATGCGCACATTCACACACACAGCGGCCCAGAATAAGAAATAAAGGCGAACGGATGTGATTTTTTTTTTTTTTCCAGCACCAGGAATGAAAAAGACTTCCCTACACTGGGATTTGGGAAGGAAGGAGGACAGATTGGACGGTACTACCTCTGCCGGACGTCAGAGGGAGGAGTGCGTACAAGCCTCCTTAAAGCGAGAAGAGAGAAAAGCCTCCCTCTGAGAGAGACGATGGCTGTTGTTTTACATTCATTTTGTTTTGGGGGTTTTTTTAAAGAAAAAAGAGATTTTAACCGCGGAGAGTTGACTCGCTCACATGCGCGAATACGAGGAACTAACTGGTGGAGTCATCACAGCTTCCCCCGGACAAAGCAGTCCACCGCTCAACTCATCACTTAACGTTTACTGACTGCCTCTTACGAGAGTGTGTGCACTTATTTGTGTGTGTGTGTGTGTGTGTGTGTGTGTGTGTGTGTGTGTGTGTGTGTGTGTGTGTGTGTGCGCGTGCGTGCGTGCGTGTGTGCGTGTACTGAGATGAATGTATGCTTTGAGAAGGGGACTGAATTCCTTGTTGATTTTCTTTCTTTTTTCATGTTTGTTTTATTTAATTTTTTATGGATTTTGAAAATGTACTCCTGTGAAGAAGGTTGTGCACGTGTGCATGTGTGAGAAGCTGTGATGTGTGTGTGTGTGTGTGTGTGTGTGTGTGTTTGTGTGTGTGTGTGCGTCAGAGCCAGTCCTATGGTCTTGCAGCAGTGTGTGTCTCCCTCTGGTGTTACAGTTTAGCATTTCATCTTACAGGCTGACGCCTCTGTGCAGAGGGACGACGCATACACACAAAAAAACAAACAAAACAAGAAAGCGATCACGAGGACCCGACGTCTGCCGTCAGCAGAAATCTAGAGATAGAGAATTATGATGTTTGTGATATCTTAAGATTTCTATGTCCAGTTTTTACATGGCTTGTCTGTTTCTACTGTTTCAGTAACCCTAGTTTGTCTGTACGTCTCTGTTGTCTTTAAAGATATTTAACATAGAGCTAACACACACACACACACACACACACACTCAGAGGATACATGAGTCTGTTACTGATGTTCACTGCCTATTGTAGTGTTCAACCACGTGGATCTCCCCAGTAAGGCACTACATTGCCACACATAAACACACAGACAGACACACATGCTGTATACATATAGGAAAAAGGCTGCCTAAGCCTGATACTTCAGTCCATTTTTGTCATATCGTCTTCTCAATGACCTCTTAAAGAAAAACAAAAACACTCCAAGGGCTTCTTTCCTCCAGCGGAGTGTGTGGATGTTTGCATTTGTGTGGGTGTGAGCGTGTGTTTCTTCAGTACTAATCCCAGCCCATTAGCTCCCTGTTTACTAGAACAAACGGCACTCCGATTCCTCGCTATTGGACGAGCAAGCACCCGTAGCGTAGACTGGCAGCAGATTAGCATACCCCTGCTTCCTCCGCCGTACTAAAAGAGCAAAACGCTGTTATTTTTTACACAGAGCCGGGTTCCCTGCACTCCCCCTGCGGACATATCTACAGCAGGAACGTGGCACCGCTATGAGAATTAATCAGGGACAGAATAAAAGCTGTAGAGAGCCAAAAGGAGGGAAAGGGTTGAACTGTGTGATTACAGAGAGCACAGCAGATGACATATCTTAATCCATTACTACATTTCTCTCACTTGGCAAGCGCACCTGCAGCATTTCACTATTCATATCTCAGTCAGAGGTAGACAGCGTGTCTTTTTCATTTCCACTATCACGCCTTCTTTATTCTTATTCTTTGTTTTTTTGTTGTTGTTTTTTTTAAACGCTTCTGCCGCTGCGAGTCAGGGCACCAGAGGTGATTTCAAAAAAGGATTTTTAAACATTTCAGCTTCCTCCAATGGAGGAAGGGTTTACACAAAGGACACGACATCAGTTCATCTTCGCCATGGACATGGCAGTGAGTGGAGGCCATCAACAGGTTGTTTTTTTGGGGTTTTTTTTTTCATGTCTGATCGAGTGACTGTGGTGAAGACGTGAGAGTTTTTTTGATTGTAGGACAGACGGGGGAGCGTATCGATTGTTCTAAATTCGGGAGTCGGGTTAAGGGGTGGGTTTGAAATGAACTGACATGTCCAGGCTTCCACACTGAGCTGATCCAAATGTAGAAAATAAAAGTGAAAACGTTTACAGAAAACTTTGAGGTGCCTGGTGATTTCTGCCTCCTTCTGTCTCCACAGACGCACCACAAACCCTAACCCTTAATTACGTAGCCCAACCAATACTGAACTTTTACAATGATGTTTATAACCGAGAGTTTAAAAACATCTAGCACTTAATTAAAAAGTAAGTGTGCAGACGCTCAGTAATGTCATAATTACATATACAAAAATGGAGGTTCGTTGTCTGTGTCTTGAAATTTGTGTCTACGGTTGGTCTCCCCTGCCAAAACACATTTTTATTTACTTTAATATATTTCTTTTTTACTTTATAAAAAAGTGGCTTTTTTTTAATTGCTTTGAATTGTGTATTGCAGTTTATTCTTATGATGCTTTTCCTGATCACTGGAATATTCCATTGCTCGCCATGTGCACCGTACAAATAACTCACTTGTGTGAAAAGGCAGGTAATAACTTGTGGGATCTTAAGCGCCAGCTGCTTTTTAAATTCCCCACGTTCCCCAAACTAAAATGGCACAGGAGTTCAAACTTTGGACACATTGCACAGTACTGTATTTTGCACAAACTGCTGTCCACAACGATGAGTTCACTGTACTTCTTACTGTTAAACTGAGGAAATCTCGGGTCCTGGTAGTCATGTGCTCTGGAAAAGTTAATGATCCAGAGTTCCTGGATCCAAATCTGCTCTGATGTCCGTGAGAGTCATGGATGTGGAAACGGCTAGGTCCACCTCACAAAGGCCCAGTGCCCTTATTCTGATGGGTAATAGCTAATTCACTGACACTAGGGGGACCCACACAATATTACAGATAGCGGAGAGTGGTTTTAGTGCAGCTGCCCAGTATAGATTAGCTCAAAAGCTCTAGAACAGGGACGTCAAACTCATTTGACATTGGGGAGCCACATGCAGCCACTTGACCACTAAAAGTCCTGTTTGTATCAACGTAAAGAGATATTTTAGTATTAGAAAGAAAAGCGCAATGGCAACAGTACGTCTCAGTTTCTCTGCATAACAAAGAAATGCTGCTGCAAACAAATGAAATCTCACTACGACTCTTTTGGGCTTAAATAAATAAATGTGTTTTTATTAATGACAGAAAATCTCCTACTTTTAAAATGACTACAGGTCTTATCCTACTATGGATTTAAACATTGAAAGTTTTTAAAACTGAACATTTTTAGTAATATAATAACAAAAGTTTTTGATTTCCTTCAAGAACACTTTTTTATAGTATCTGAAATATTTGCTGATTCTAGTTATTGCTATCATAGTTTTTATTACATATTGATTATGTTACATAAGAAATCCTGAATTAACAGTCTGTTGCCAAACCCCTTGAAGAACTGAGTGGTTAAAAGATGGAAGCGTATTCACAGACTCCACTGTTCACTGGGTCTGAGCTGAGATCGGCGCTGCTGGAGACACTGGTGGGTGTTGAAAAGATACATTTCTGCTCTGCTAGAAGTGCTGCAGGAGCGGTGAGTCTGGACCGAAACATCAAGATAAACCTGTGGGGAAGAGGCTGTCCTCGGTCCTGTTCATAAACACCGCAGGGTAGTGTGAATGTAGCCGAGTCGGGCTGCAGAGTGTTTTGTGGAGAGTGGATTATTTAAATTCCTCCACTTGATCTGCTGAATTATTCATTTGTCAGGATTAGGCCCGCTGAGAGCCACCAGGAAGACATATTAGACAACAGCGCGTTGCATACTCATCTTTGATAAACGCGGCGATGGAATTTGTTTCCTGAAAGCATCTCTGTGGTAAATAAAGCACCGGGGCGAATTCATAATAGCGCAGCTTCTCTGTCTTCAAGAAGCAGAAAAAGACAATCAGCATCTCAAAGTTTTGTGGTTTTGACAAAAGTGAGATTATGAATCTCTCAGCTGGTCAGAGAAGCAGAGGCTCAGGAGCAAATCTCTCTGCTCACGTCAGGTCCAGCCTGAAAGGAGACGCCTGTGCTGTGGTTCTGAAGTGATTGTGCCGTTCAGGAGATTTCGAGCTCGCAGAGACTTTGCTCCAGTTTATGTGCAGCGTTGTGAGTTCATTGGAGCTACGGGAGGAGTCTTTGATCTGAAGAAATGAAGCTGAATTGAAGCCCAGAGGGAAACCGAGAGAAAAAACAGAATATTGAAGTGCGCTTTGAGCAGCAGAGTGAATTTATTAACTTAGAAGTCTGCTCATCAAATGTGTTTGTTTAAGGCTTTTGTTGATTTTTATCTATGGAGTCGTTTTTTTCTGTTTTCTGTTTTGTTTTTTAACCAACACGCTACATTTTTGGATTTTAAATCCCATAATTATGCAGAGGGAGATGTTGCAGATGTTATTGAAGTGCTGACTTTCAGCTTTAATTCAAGGGGTTTAACAAAAGAAGAATTGCATTAACGGTTTGGGAATTACAGCTCTGTTTATACACAGTCCCTCATTTTTATAAGAAATGGGAAAATTACCATAATTATAAGAACTGCTTTTAGTCTTGGACTCACAGACATCACCGGGTGCTGTGTTACATCTCTGCCAGGCCTTTACTACAGTTTCTGCTTGTCTCTGGGTCTCTCTGTCTTCAGTTGTGTATTTAGTAAATGAAAAGCATGCTCTACTACAACTCTTCAGTTACGATTCATGCACACGCCATTACAATTCCTCCACCATGTTTGACAGATGATGTGTTATGGTCTAAGGATCTTGGACAAAAAAGTGTCTGGACTTCTTTAAGTTTCTTGAAGACACTTCTTAAAGAAGTCCTGATGCTTTTCTTTCCGAGCTCCTTGGACTACGATGACCCGGATGACTTCACAGACATGATGTGTTATGCTTCACATCATGAGCTGTTTCTCTCCTGCATTCACACTGATGACACTGTCTCTTGATTGGAGACGCCCTCAAGAGTGCTGCTGACTCAGATGTTGTGAAGTTGCTTTTCTTAACCAGAATTCTGTTATTGTGCACTTCAGTTGTTTTCTGTGGTCTTCCAGACCTTTTGGAGTTTGTCGGTGCATTCATTCTTTGTAAGGATGCGCTAGATTGTTGTTTTGGCCTCGTTTAAAGTTTCTGACAGAATTAGTTTTTGTTTGTCAGCCTAATGATGGTCTCTTTTACTTGCACTCGACATGTATTTGGACCTGATATTGAGATTTCCAATGAAAAGACAGCAAAAAAAACGCAAGTTTAACACTTAACCAAGTGTTTAACACTTAAACCAAGGTAAGAAAAAGAAAATCTGTTTTCTCAGTTTGGCCCAGGACTGAATGAATTCTGTTTGTTTTTTAACAGATAAACAGTGTAAACCCTGGAAGCCTGTGGTTTCAGTGAAGATCAGCAGT